TGGATCTTCGTCGAAAACTCACTCAAGATATAGCCGAGAACCAAGGAGTGGACACAACGTAAATGGGGGCCGGTGAAATCGATCTGTCGTTCGCTTGTTGAAACCGTAAAACGTATCCACACGTCGCGTGGTTACCGTTGGTTTCTTGAACAAAGCTGACAGCAACAATAAGTCATAAGACTCTCTCCTCGCCAGTGTTTCCCAAGAACACTGAAAAAAATAAATAAAATAGGGTGTACCAAAAAATGTACAATAACCCCTTTCACCGTCACTATCTCCATGTCCCGAGGGTATGGAAAAAGATAGTGTTAACGTGTCATTACTATCTCCATGTCACAAGGACATGGAAAAAGATAGTTTTAACTCGTCCCCATAACGTTAAAAATAAAACTTAACATAAAAAAGAAACAAATTTGAGCCGCAGAACAACAGCAGATATATTTTTGAGCGCTCTATATCTGGCATTGTTGCTCAATTCCTTGCTTCGGTACGTCTTCGCTTCCGAGTTCGGCAGGGTGATGCTTCGTCCCCCTGCTTGTTGAGGGTGCGAACCGAAGTTGTTTTAGGAAGCGCGATATCCAAACCACAACGGATTCGGTATGCAGCTATCATTTCTTGACATTGTGGTACCTCATCTGCGCGGTATTCGAGGTCTGACTCCGGGCCATACCCGCGAAGACGCAAACGGTATCGGTAATTAAAAGGAGTCCTCGGACCCCGAACACTTTTGTGGCTTACCACTTTGTCTACAACATAAGACTCATTTCTTGGTTGGGCCTCATCAGGGTGATCGATAGCGGGTAACGGAATCTGTCGCCCTAAAAAGAACTCAGCGAGTTTATCAAAGTCGGGCGCAGGCGGTGTTTTCCTCGCAAAATATCGTTTAATATGGGCTAGGTGAACCGAAACTTCTCGAGTTTCTTTTGGGCGTCTCACTCGGTATACTACGGGTGATAGTTGCGAGCAGACGACGTATGGTCCCCGCCAAGGTAACAGCAATTTCGGGTTGGGGCCATCTGAATCCTGAAATGGTCTGTATACCAGTACTTGATCGCCAGGTTTAAACACGGGAATCGGTCTAAGTTTTGAATTACTCGCCGCTTGCTTTTTTGAACGTTCCGTTAAGTTTCGGCGCGCTAATTCGAAAGCAATTTGTAAATTTTCCCGCGTGTCTTTCGCAAGTTCTTCGGTATTGGCTGTTGTTCCTACATGAGGAATACCGAGAATGATGTCGACAGGTAGTCGTGGTTGTCTGCCAAACATGCGGAAAAATGGAGTTTCATGCATGGTAGCACTAAGAGAAGTGTTATGCACCAGTTGTATGAAAGGTAGTAGCGATGCCCAGTTATCACGCTTCATTGAACTATGCATGGCAAGCATTGCGTGCATCGTTGAATGTAGTCGTTCCGACACAGAATTCCCTTGCGGACGATATGGTGTTGTGCGGGTTTTCTTGTAGTTCAGAATACTCTGTAACTGGTGGATCACACTATTCTCAAATTCAGGCCCTTGATCAGAATGCAACATCTCAGGCGGTCCAAAAATGCCTATGATGCGGTCAATGATAGCCTGAGCAACTGTGACAGCTGATTTATTCGGAATCGGAGTCAACACGGTGAATCGGGTTAGATGGTCCATCATGGATAGGACATATTTGCATCGTACGCCGGCGGCTGACATCGATTCGCTCTTGTATTCAACTAAGTCCACTGAAACTCGCTCAAACGGTCGTTGTACTGGTACGTGTCCAGTTGGCAATTTGGTGCGATTGTGCGCGGTTTTCCGACGTTGGCATGCTTGGCACTCCTGACACCAAGTGCGAACGTCACGACTCATGTTCGGCCACCAATATTTCTGGCGGATCTTGTCATAAGTCGGTCTGGATGCTAGGTGACCTCCGGACAAAACGTGATCATGGTAAGCGTGCAAAACTAAGCCCGTGAGAGCTTGCGGCAATACTAATTGATCAGTGAAAGTACTCCGTTTCCTGAGGTAACCTGGTAAATACGATTTGAACAGCAATCCGTCTCGTACGAAACAATAGGACACGGTTGTTGCTGTGTCGTTATCCGGGACTCGTGCGTTTTCCCCCACAAGATAGTCGATGTATTTCCCATACTCGGCTGCTTGTTTTTTTCGCAAGATGTCTCGGTTCATCGTTTCAAAAACGTGGGTCGCGCTGATGTAAACCGAATTAATGGTAAACAATTCGCGATCACTTTGCACTGGTTTTAAATTTTCCAGGCGGTCTGCGGCCACTTGATAAGGTCTGTTCGGTACAGCTACATGCAAAGCAGGATCCTTGGGGACATTCCTACAAATCGGTGTTAGTTTCGGGGCTTCTAAGTGTTGCTGGTACTCAAAAGCAAACAACCGAGATAAGGTGTCCGGAACAACGTGTAACCTCCCCGGCTTGTGTCGCACGGTAAAGTCAAACGACTGCAGAGCGATAGCCCACCTAGTCAGCATATTTGAAGTGTCCTGCATGGTGTACAAGTATCTCAACGCAGCATGGTCCGTCACAACTTCAAAATGTCTGCCCCATAAATAGGGCCGCCAGTGCTGTATTGCTAGTACGACGGCGTAACATTCTTTCATGGTTGGGGAATAGTGGCGCTGAGCATTGTTGAATCGTTGGCTGAATACGCAATAATGTTGAGGTCATCTCCTGTTTGCTGCGCAAGGAATGCTCCAGCACCTGGTTCGCTGGCATCCACGTGCACGACGAAGTCTTTCGTACNTCGCTGGCATCCACGTGCACGACGAAGTCTTTTGTAAAATCGGGAAAGTGTAAAATAGGTGCTTCCGTGAGCAGTCGTTTGACTGTCGCAAACGCCTCATCATGTTCGTTTCGCCAACGTTTTGCAATCGATTTTACGTGCTCTTTTTTAGTGAGGTCTACCAACGGCGCTAACACCGTGGACAAATCTGGGAGAAATTTCCTCACAAAATTTATCATGCCTAAAACTGAACGGAGTTCTTTGATCGTTTTAGGAGCGGGCAGGTCAACAATAGCTTTAATGCTGTCGTCTCCGATTCGAATTCCTTTCGCAGACAAATATGTGACCTAAATATTTTACTTCCCTTGGCCCGAATTGTACCTTGGAAGGTTTTAATGTGAGCCCTGCGGCTTGAAGGGCTTGAAATGTATTTTCTA